CTTTTGGGAAGTTTAGATGATGCACTTGGAGGGACAGGAGGAAGATCTCTCTGGCTTCTTAGAGGAAGCAAGATGTTGGTGAGGCTGGCCAGAGGTAGCTGGATCCGCTGGGGGCAGGGATAGGAAGGGACCATTACTGATAAGGACTAAACCTGCCGAAAGTGTTCCAGATGTTTCCTGAAAGCCAGGGTTGTTTCTATCTTATTTTAACTACCCCCGTACCCCAGCTCAGCATATGGTTCTCAGAAAATGACCTTTAGATTACAAAAATAAAATAAAACTTTGCCATCTCTCAGCATCCAGTTTTTGCATAGGTGCGTGTGTGTCATCTGAGGAAGTTGGCAGGGAACAGTGACACTTTCAGATTGGATAGTATTTGTGGAGAGCCTAAGGAGGTGTGGGTAGAGGTGTGGGAAGGGCGTAGAGGGGTCCCTGGGGCAGTGCAGTAACTCCTGGCTTATGCAGTGGGTGGAATTTCCACTCCAGGCCTGGAGGGTCAGGAGGGGGCGGTTACTGAATCTGGAGACAAGCTGTGTGAAGACACTTCATTTTACAAGAGCTGGTCACCTTCACTGGGGCACAGCCAGCCCGAGGCAGTCCACAGTAAGGGAGTCAGGTGCCAGTGGCTCAGGAGCCCTGGAGGTGTACTGGCCGGCCTCCAGCATAACTAGCAGGGGCAGCTAGGGAGACACAAATCGATACATCCTTGGTACATGTGTGTGATGTTTGGGGATATTGTTTGTTTTGTTCTAATACCCCAGTTAAAGAGATAATGGGATGGGTTAGTTAGCCTATCATGTGAACTCTAGAGTCAGGCAGACCTGGGTTTAATGTCCAGCTCTGCCACTTGCTTACTTACCTCCTTCGATGAGTTACTTGTCTTCTCTCTGCATATTGGACATGATAATAGGACCAGCCACCCACATATGACAGGCAAATGAGGTCATATATGTAAAGTGGTTACTACAGGGCCAGGCATAAAGCACCGTAAAGGTTGGTAGCGTCTGTGCCTCCTTGTATTTGATAATTACAGAATTCTTCTGTTTTGCCCATTTGTGTTTGTGAATCTTTCCTTGCTGGTATTATCTTAATTATTCCAGAGGGTTAGTGCTATCTTTTTTTTGGAGACGTTTTTGCTATAGGGCGTGTGCACTCACCAGAAAGACAGAGAGAGATAGACAGAAAGTGAGAAATCACCCCCCACGGGGGATGGCCACGCTGCAATTCCTTCTCCTCCATTCTCCTCTCGGGATCTTGGGCACGCATTGCACATGCACCCGACATGAGTTTAAGCTACCAAGTCTGGGACTCAAACCACGGGAGTCCAGTGACATAGCCATTACGCTAACTGCTGGTCCCGGGATTAGTGCTATCTGAGATTGGAGATTCCATGGGTACGGACTCTGGAAGTGCAGAGGTTCCTGTTTATAATGTCAGCTGTCTCAGACTCGGTTCAGTGATGACAACTTAGGGCCACATTACGTACAGGTTAACTTCCTCTGCCCAGTCCTGCCATCCTCATTTCCGTGGAGGGGCATCTCCTGAACAACACTCCCCACTCAGCCTTCTGCATTTAAGTAGAAGTGTCACCCAGAGAGAAGGTGGCCTAGTGTAAATTGCTATGCGTAGGACTTCCCAAGTCAAAGGATTTGCTGTATGTTGCCGTGTGGTTATTCTCCAAAGGACATGGTCCAGTATGGAGTGAGTGACTACAGGCAGCTTCATTACTCTTTTGCCGTAGGATATTGTTTAAAAGATATTTGGGGATACTGCGCTTCACTTCGTGTGCTTGTGTTGTGGGGTCTGAGGAGAGTCGAGAACTGTGAGGGCCTGAAACTAACAGGGTAGCCTGCCATTCTTTCATAGATGAGGATAGATGTGGGATTCCTGGGTCAGAGTGTGGGGAGGAACTCTTTTCCTTCCACCCATTTTAGGTTCATTTTGGGAGACCCTGTAATAAAAGACAAATTAACAAGAGAAAAGCATACAAAATTATTTAATACAAATCTTAGGCGACACAGGAGTGAGTCTTCATAAGAAAATGAAGACTGAAGAAATGGTTGTGTGTTTTTGTGCTAGGTTTGATGAAGAGTGGATGATCTTAGAGAAATGCATAGGCCAGGGAGGTATGAGCTAAGTGTAATGAAGTGGGGGGCACCTCTTCCAGGAGGGTCCTGAGACCTGCTCCAAAGTTCCCATACATGTCACTCCTCACAGTCCAACCTAAAACATGCCCTGTACCAAGTTTTGGGGTAACATGTCCTGAACACTGTTGGAGATAAAGGACTTAACAAGTGCCATAAACATCATGTTTGTCACTTCCTTCTGTCCTCCACGTCCCATGGAGGGTGACCTGGAGCCAGGTGGATGCTATGCACATGGTGGGTTTGCTGAGAACTGAGCTTGGGAAGCTTAAATCTTTGTTCATGGGCTCCAAACAAACTTGCTTTTGATACCAAAGGATGATGCCTTTATTACTAGACAGAGCAGATCTGCCCCTTGTTCTTGAGCAAGATCCTTTCAAGACTACTCACTATGTAAGTAACCTTGAAATGATAGTCCAGAACAAAAGTTCCTCACCTGCAGGATGTGCTGAAATTCAGAAGACCCACAGACTTGTTAGTGAGTAACAATTTTACCCAATTTTGCCATGCATGTTATTTGTGACTTTAGACAAGTCCGTTTATTTCTGAGCAATAGTTTTTTATCCACAAAACAGTTGAAATAGGGATTTTAGCTCTAAATGATGAGTCCTCATTGAAGGAAATTGGGGAGGGCACATTGTGGCTTAGTGGTTAAGGGAGCCGGTTCCCACATGACTGACCTCATGGTTCA